CTCACTCTCTCTCTCTCTCTCTCTCTCTCTCTCTCTTATCCTACACCCCTGAACCCTAAACCCTATTAATATTATCATAAGTAAGAAGCAAGAGCGCAAACATCATTAATACAATGCACTTACAATAGTTCGTTCAGGGGCTGGGCTTCTTTCCCGGGCTTTCAAGTTTGGTTTCGGGGTCTTTGGGACTGATCTTGAAGCTCTGTTTCAGTAATTTAATAATAATTCCGGTTTAGGGTTTAGGGTTTAGGGTATGGGCACTCCCCCCTAAGTCGCCCACTCGCAAGACCCATAAGATCCGCAAGATGCATCCAAGCAATAATTATAATTGCAGGCATAATGTAATAAATGTAATTTACTCGAAAGTTGCAACCGAAACAAGGCCAGTAAGACTCAGTTAAGATTCTCCTTCTTTGCTCAAATCTGCAAATCTGAGTCTTTGGAAGTAAAGGAGTGGCACCCTCGTAGCCAGACCTTCCGTAAGTTCCTCTGCCCAGATTCAGCACAAAAGCAAACCCTAAACTAGCTAGTAAACGACGATTATTATTACTACTAGTACTTAATAACTAGTGCTACTACTACGACGACGACTACTACTCCTGACTGTCTTGAAGTAACGAATGAATGCATATTTCATAATAACAATTTTTAATACAGTAAGCTTCCGGGTCTTGCATATCACCACGCTTGCAGGCGGAGACTCCTGCGAGAGTTTCCTGCCCTGCTGATTACACTGGTCTGGCCAGAGTCCTCCTGCCGCGAACCCAGAGTGCGACCGGTCACAACCGCATGCACGCACAATTTAATAAACTATGTAAGTTGTATAGTAGCGCCCACCCACATACGCAAACGTAAACATACATGCACGCTTGCGCCTGTACGCATCTGCGAGCATAGAGACGGTGTGCGGATGCTTATTCAAGTCAATAGTTGAAATGATTAACTCACCTGCGCTGGATCGATGCTCGCAGCTTTTGCGATTGTCCTTGGTTTCCACATTCTGATGTATAGTAAGCCAAACCAATCCAATCAGACACAGTCAGACACTAACAGGTGCCGGTTCCACCGGTCTATCCTGCAAGAGACCTACGTCGCTTGCAAGGTCTGCCCGCCTCCTGTTGGATTGTTTCGGCCAGATTCAGAAACGACACTGCAGGGAAGCCTGTTTGTTTGCGATGAGGTTGTGAGAGATGAGAAATTGCACCGGCCCAGCCGTCATCACTGCCGGTGACATGTCCGGCTCGATAGCAAGTAAGAGAAGCATCTCAGTCTTGGATAATTTTGTTTGCTGCTGGCCGAGCTTGCGCAGCCATGGCCCCGAAGAAGAGCTGCATCCAGTCAAAAACCAAGGCAGTGCAAGAGAAGGCGCTTTCGAAGGAGAAGAAGCTGAAAGTGTTTTGTCTGCAAGCAAGGCGTCTACACTTCAACCTTCCGACCCCCCTTAACTTTAAACATATGATCCCATCAATCAAGCTAATCACATGTCCGAATATTCGTGAACTGAGGACAAGGCGGAGGAAGCCTTGCGCAAAGAGCAGAAAGCGAATCTTGAAGCGCAAGAGAACAGACTGGTCACGATGAGGCAGGAGCTCGATGCGTGGTTTGCCCTACGGCCGAAAGCACTGGAACACATCCATCGGGGCTTCAGTCGCTGAGAATTTTAGTTCTTCGTTTTTTTGGGTATGTTTGGGAAAGAAAAATAGTACTGTGAAGCTTTAGCGAGCTAGGTTCTTTAAATTCAGTTGAACTTGAGTGAAATGACTGACTGTGATTCATTGTCTTTAGAGCGCACGTGGCATAAAGGTATGGGAAGCTTTGATTCGCTGGACTCCGGCAAGATCGTGGGCGACGACGACTCGTCGGAGCAGAAGCTGAAGCCCTACATGAACAAGTTCCGATTGCTTGGGCAAGAGCAAACGCGACCGCTGCTTTGCAAGATGATTCCCAAAGTGATGTCGTTCTTGGACAAACAGCAGAAGAACTTCAGGTGCAAGATAGAGCGTGCTTTCCTGGCGACCCTGCTCGCGTAGCTTGGCTGTGAATCAGTAGTACATGTAAAACAATCTTTCATTCAAATCTTCTTTGCCTCTGCCGAAGCAAGACAAGTGCAAAACACCTCACTCGCCGTAGGTTCATCACTCACTGCGACGTCAACAGCGCGTTGCCGAGCAAGAGCATGGTCGCGCTTGAGGACTTCATGATGAAGCGCTTCACAGACTACGGCAGCCGGCTAGAAACCTGGGAGCCACGGGGGCCAGAGACGACCTTCCAGGACCTACTCGTTTAACCCGCCTAAGTAAGGCATCCTGCGGCAACATCGTGATTTTCCGCCGCCTGTTCATTGCTCAGCCTCTTAGGCCCATCATGCGGCTGGGGTCGTGAGTCCAAGTCAGTGAAAATTCAAGTTGAATGAATTCGGTTTAACCGTTGCCTTGTTTGTCGGATCGGTTGGCCTTAAATTCACCCAAGCCCAAGAGTCCGCGTTCTCAAGGAGTTCTGTGACGATCCCTCCTGCAGCTACTGGAGGCTGGAGAAGCAGGACGACGGCAAGAGTCAGTTGCGGTACATGCAGACCGACTTGATGTTTAAGCTTCCGCCGGAGATGCAGAACATCGACAACATCAAGGTCATGTGCGCAAGAAACTTCAACACATCCTTGAGTTTCTCAGCTGCAATGTGCGAATCTTTCAGATCAAGTTATCTAAGCACGCGCTTCTCTAGTTCTCTCGTCTATTCAGAACATGTTGAAACCACTTCTTCCAACTCAATTGTTCGTTGCATAGCAATTCCGTCAGGTGCTGGGTTGGTGGACATCTCGGTGTGCAAGATCCTGAATTCCGACATCAACGAGGGCAAGACCTTGCCCGAGAGCCCGTTCTTTCTGAAGGAGTGCCCGACGGGTTCCTCCCCCGAAGCCGGTTCTGGTGATGGCAAGAAGACGAAATCGTGGCAGGCGAAATCGGAGACTGCGCTTCAACCGGCAGCTGGGAACGGCAAGAACACTCCCCCGCGGACGCCGAAGCGCAAGATCAATTCCAAGTCGTCGCCTAGCAAGAGTCCGAAGACCCTCGCCGGATCGCCCGTCAGCTCGATCAAGTCGCCAGCATCAGGAGGGCGAGGATCGCCAAAGTAAGCTTGACTGAGATTGTTTCAGGGGCAAGAACACAGAAGAAGCATTATTATTTTTAACATAAAAAATGCATCGCTGAAAGTTGGTGTCACATGCTTTTGTGTTCTCGGGTTACCCCTGCTTCTGAGTCTTCCGAGACTGTAGGTCAGAGAGCAGGGAAGTATTTCAAGAGCGCCCCGGCCTGACTCTGCCGATTTCCGCTGCCGCTGTTGCTGAAGGCAAGAAATTTTAATCGAGTCCTCGGCCGCTGAACCTGGCAAGTTTTGGCGATCAACCGCCTTGCCGGGCCGTTTGCGATAAAACGCTGCCTTAGTCACTGGCCGCAGAAGTCGCAAGAGAGAAAACGGGTTGCCAGGCAACAAGCCTTTTGACGCACCTCATTTGTGATTTTACACTCCCGCCCGCCAGGATTCTGCACTTCCTGGACCTGCACTGAACGACTGTCGGGCCCTGGCAAGAATTTTTGCTAATGAGCCAGAGTAACGCAAGAAACTCCGTATTTTTGGAAAGACATTCGCAGGAAATCCCTGCAAGATGCAGAGAAAAAGGCGTGGCAAATCATCATCATTTCATCTCGCTGACATATAAACTTCACAGACTATCCGGGGTGTAGTGTCGTAAATTCTTATTGAAGCTTTTAATATACTTGGGAATTTTAACAACATATCAGAACTTTATCTTGTAACCGAACAACCCACGAACCCCTCACGAACCCCCAAAACGTTCGCAGAAGTTCGCCGAAGGGTTTTTGAAAAAACGAACTTCGTCGAAGGGTCAACCTTTGCCTGACAGACCGTTGCCCCCTTCTGCGTTCCCCTCAGATTGTTGATGTCCGCGGTTTCTGGGCTTGGTGTTAAGTTCCAGCTTGTCTCGGCATGCTTAGCACCATGTCACCATGTCCTTTTGGCACAGCTTGGCAAGCACAGCAGCTCAGGAAAATGATGCTTGCCTTGCACTGGAAGGCTTTCTATCGATTGTGATTGTGATATTATTAGCTACAGTAGGTGGCCATCAGGTTTAAGGCTTGAGTCACAATGCCTTCAGGTGTTAGCAATTAGTGCAGAGGCTGGATAGGGCTTGGTGCAAGCAGAGACGCGGTGCCAGTGGCCTGCATGGGATTCCGTGTTTTCGGCTCAATGTAGGCACGACCTCCAGGTGGAGGGAGCGGCCCAGAAGTAGTTCCACCACTTTGCAAGCACATTCGCTGCCGGCTGTATGTAGGATGCCCCATGGCCCTGGAAGTTGCAGCGAAGGCCGTGGGAAAGAAGCATTTCGGATGTGAGATTCTGTCCTGGCGCCTTGGGCCTCTGTGAGCCAAATCAAGGCCGTCTCTAATGTAGAGGATCGAATGACTATTGTGGTGGGTCCTTACTTATAACATAGTATACTACCCAAACCCTATTCTAATTATAAAGGCCCCTATATTGTAGAACCTACTTTTGATCCCTTATAGACCCCTTTAAAGGAACCATGTTCAAATTAAGTATTAAGGCCGCTATATCAAGCTAGAGGGCAGGGCCGAAGGCTGCACAGTTGCGCGAGGTTTCGCCTGATGGGGTCCACGTCGAGGATTCCTTCAACCTGCGACTGCGGCCAGGGCCTCGTAGACTCGCAGCGTGCTAGCGCGAAGGTTTACCGAAGTCGTGCCTGAATCTGTCGGTAAGCGGCAAGATTCTTACCGAGTCAGCAGGCCCAGAGCAACAGAGAGGACCACGTGCTCTGAGCTTCTTGAGAACACGGATTGCGTACCCGTCCATGAGCTGTGTACGACATCTTGGCTCAAACACGTCCTGCCACTTTCCGAGGACGATAGGACAAAGCTCGTAAACGCTCTGGGGGATGCCAGCTCGCGGCACGGAGGCGTGGGTAGATGGCAGGAGACCAGAAGTTTGCATCCGTGGTGCCCGTTGAAGCAGAGGGCGACGATGAGGCACCGAAGCCAGGAGCTATCGTGCAGTTCACCACTGCGATCTACTTCGTTGAGGAAGAAGAGCCGGATTTGACCATCGACATCATGCGATTGGGATCCCTGAGGGGCGACATCAGCGTGGACTGGCTTACCGAAGATGGTTCTGCAAAAGCAGGGGTACGGTACGAGGCAGCGAAAGGTCAGATTGTCATGAAGGATGGCGAGTACCGGAAGCAGATCAAGATCAAGACGATCGCCAACGATTTCTGGTCTCCGACATTGGAGTTCAAGGTCAAACTCGAGAACCCTAGTGGCTGTTCCCTGGGTCTGTTCCTGAAATCGTGTCGTGTCAAAGTGATTGATGGCGACACTTTCCCCTCAAGTATGAATAGGGAGCTATTGCTGCAAGGTGAGGATGGCGTGCGACGAATCCGCATGATACGGCTTCTGTGGGAGTTCTGGAAGCTCTGTTTCAATCAGGTGAAGGGGGTGAAGACCCGGACCTTGGTTACACTGTTTTTGGATCAGCTCCGGAATGCTAGGAAGCTCTCCGTCCTCCTGCTCAACATTTATATGGTGGATGTTGTTTTCAATACAGGCGATTCGACGACCCAGGAACAGCTCATGCTTGCCACTCGGCAAGAGACGGCTCTGATGGTTGGGATATGCCTTGCTGCACCCATGATCCTTATGCACGTGGCGGCCCTGATTAAGGCCAAGATGGACTTGAAGGGCCACATTAACCTTTTTCTGCAGCGAGCCCTCTTTCGAAAGTACATGAACTATAGTGAGGAGTCCCGAAACGAAACTCCTCCTGCCACGGTACAGGGTGCCGTCCTGTCGGATGCAGGCGATGCCGCGGAAAGCTACATGAAATTGTTGGAGCTTGTGTCGATCGTCGTTCAGCTTGGGATTTTCATCTACTTCACTCTCATGGAGAACCCTGAAGCTTTGGTGTTCATTCTCTTGATGCCTTGCTGCATGGTGGTCTACTTCATTGTTGTCGGTCTGATCCGCGGGCCCAGAGATCTGTGGAAGGACACTGAGGACGCGATGCTGTTCCTGGTCGAGGAAGTGTGCCAGCGCTATAGGCTCGTGGCAGACTACTTCCAAAGGCCTCAGATGAACGATGAGTTTGAGAAGACCAGCGGCGAGCTGCGAACGGGAATCGTCCCGGACAATATGCGCGATGCCAACGACGAAATGTTCCCAAAGTGGCTTGGCCCAGTCTTCATGGCCATCTACATCGCCATGGAGGCGAACAGCGTGGTGGAGGGAAGGTTGAGCCTCGGAACCTTCCTGGCCACAGTGGGCATCATGAGCGAGATCAGTGACCAGTTCGGCGAGATTTACGCAATCATTCTGGAGCTGCGCTTGCTGCATGTGGCAGTGGTGGACTTGACCGTGATGTTCAACAGTGCAACAGACCTCAAGAAACAAAAGGAAGTGAACCGAAAGCGCCGCGAAGAGTCCAGAAAGGCACGTGACGCCCTGTTTTCAGAGCCCTCAGATCCTGATGCCGATCCGACGGCGGCCTTGTACAAGACGGACCTGATCCCAATTAGGCTCGACAGCATGGGCTACTCGTTGATAAATGCGGAGGGGACCGTCATCAAAACACTCTTCAAGGACGTCTCTGTTCAAGTGGAGCAGGGGAAGTTGATTGCCGTCACAGGCGACCACGGCTCGGGCAAAGCCACGCTGTTGCGGCTTCTGGGCGGCGTGATCTATCCTCAACAGGGTCTGATCTTCATCCCGTCACACCTCCGGGTGCTGCATGTTACCCAGGAGGCACTCATCATGAATGGCACGCCGTGGCGGAACTTGATTTTTGGATGCCCACCACCGGCCAAAATCGACCCGCAGCGTGTGCAGACCATTCTCCAAATGATGGGAATGAAGGTGACGCTTTCGCTGATCGAGGAGGATTTGCAGAAGCATGCCAAAGGGGAGGCACCCCAAAAATCTGCCGAGAGTTTCCGAGATGCCTGGATCGGGTCCATGACCTATTCGGAGAAGGTCAAGATCCACCTGGCACGGGCTTTCATCATGAACCCCGAGGTAATGGTTTTGCAGCGGCCGCTGCACCATTACGATGCACCTACAGCTGCGATCATTCTGGGGCTCTTGCAGGCCCACGTGAAGGAACGAGGTCTTGGGTTACCTGCGAAGGATAGAGAGCATCGACGTCCCAGAACCGTCTTCTTTACGGTGGAGGAGAAGTCTCAGGCAGAGGCCTCGGATGTGATTTGGAGGATCACGGACGAGGGCACGGTCGTCACAGGGAGCAAGGGTTAAGCCGGTTAAGCCTTTCGAGATGTCCGCCCCAGCCTCGAGCAGCTCGTAGCCCCACCAAGGCACCAGATCAGACCCCATCAGTCCGCAAACAGGATTCTGCAGATTCTCGAGCTCTAGACCCAACATGCTCGAGAGCCCAGCGAAGCGTTAGAATAACGTCAGTCGGGGGCTGGCGAGAAGCGCTTGCCCCTCCGACTCTCATATGGGAGCATCGTAATACTGGGTCGCGTGTTATTCAAGCGTCCTTGGGTTCTGCACTAGGGTCTTCTTGTTGCTGAAACTCCCATATGGCACGGGATCTAAGAGTGGTGTGAGGTTCCGGGCGCCCGATTTTAGGTACCGAGCTTCCAGGAAAGAGAACTGCGCAAAGCCACTCGCTTTAGAGTTTTGGCGTGTTGATGATTGGGATTATCAAGCTAGCCCCGGAACATAGCCGCCGAAAGACTCTTTGAGAGGCTGCCGGGGTAACCCCGAAACCCTCTCTGCATACGTTACATAATGCTTACGAGAATCCCCCCACGGCTCAAAGCCAAGGGGGACCAGCTCGGAACAGTTTGTAGCATTTTTGCGGCAGTAACACTTGCTTGGACACGCGAGGCGAAGCCATGCAAGCACTTCCAGTCCAAGGATCCAAACCTATTTTCAAACTCGCGCATGTGTGGTTTCAAAGAAGTTGCATTGCCAATTCATGCGAGCTGCCTGATATCTTAGGGCTTGTTGCAAGACAGGATGTACGGAGCCTCAGCAACCAGACGCGGGTTTACGTAGTACAGGAGAACAAGTTGTCGGCAGAACTTATGCCGTCCTTCGTTCTGGGGTTTCCGCTTTCTGCACGAAGTTCAAGCGCACGGGAAAGCATCAGCATGAATCATCCGAAGCCCTACACACAGTGAGGCTTTGAGCTGCAAATGCTCTGAGAGAGGGCCTTCCTGTTCTCCGGTGCTGGACCGGTTTCCCAGGCCGCTGATGATAAACCTAGCAACAACTCAAGCTAATCTGCAAAACTGTGCATGTATCATGCCATCATCACCGTCATCGTCATCGTCATCATCATCGGTGCTGTTGCCGGTTGCTGACATGATGGTTGGGATTCGCAAGCTACCCTGCCAAGAGCCTAAGTCCTAAGTTTCTTGTCTGCAGGGCTTTGCAGGCAAAACCTGGGTGACCTGGGCACGTAGGACTGCCAAGAAACAAAACCAAAGCGCAAAGCCACAAGAAGCTAAGTCCTGCCGGTCTAATGAAGCACAGCTTCTCCGACCCTAAACCGTGAACCGCTAAACCAATGTGCTTGCTCGCTCTGTTACTCGGATCCTCGCCCGCTTGTCTAGTTGTGAGTGCTGAAACCCTGGAAACCCTAAACCCTAAGCAACCTCTCCTGTCAAGCTTTCGCTTTTGAGACCGAGGCGAAGTTCGACATGCGCTTCCACATTCTCGCCGGAACTGTTCAGGTTCAGGAACTTTTCACTTTTTGGGCATATGTATGTATGTATGCATTATATATATATATATATATATATATGTATACACACACACACACACGCACATACAGGACACACATTCCCATTCTAAACTGTTCAGCTCCTTCAGCCTATCGCCAGGAGTAGTGTAGGCCCCTGATGAAGAAACCCCTAGCTCAAGAGGGATCTCAATAGGGGTCCGGATTCGAATCTGCAGGCCCTTAAACAAAGTGGGTGGTTGTCAAAATTAGGGTTCCTGTTTGGGTCCCTAATATAGTATGGCAGCTAATATTTAGGGTAGCCAAAAGGAGACCCTAATTTTGACAACTACCCAAGTGCATGTATTCATCAGGGGCCTACATCATTATGCCAGCCGCCTGTGCCGGCCGACCGGAGCGCCAGCATCAGAGAGGGAAAAAGAAGACTTTGCCAGTACTGGAGCACCCCCCTCAGGCGAAGTGGATGTTGAGCAAGTCGAAGTATGTGCCTGAATCGATAGACACAAATGCTTAGATCTTCGTTGTCCTGTAGATACATACATACATATGTATATACATATATCATATATATATATATATATATATATATATATACATGTTCGTCTTCAAGGTTTACATACACACATACAAGAAGTTTTTGGAGACCATGAGGGTGAACAGCTGTTGCAGGGGTGCCAGGCAGGTTCAGGGCCTTAGCCTCGTGTCCGCGTCGCTTTTGCCATGGTCAGGGTGTGGGCTCTTTACTATCGTCTCCTTAAGCATTATGTATTATTTTTGTTCATATGAAACTCAAGGGACTATTAAAAGCAATAGCATGTTTATTATGCATCTAAGGGGGTATAGTTTAGGGTTCAGGGTGTAGGGTTGTGCATTCACACAATCCTGTGCAAAAGGGTACAGGGTTTATTCAGAGTTCAGGGTTTATGGCAGCAATTTTGTGGTGGATTCGTTCTTTTCGGCTCAATGTGGTAGGTAAGACTGCCAGGGGAGGGAGCGGCCCGGAAGTAGGTCCGCCATGCTGCAAGTACATCCCACGCCGGCTGGATACCAGGTGCCTCATGGCCCTGGAGTTGCAGCGAAGGCCATGCTTGGGGCAGGGGCTGCCTTTCAGCTTGAAGGCCACAGGTCGCAATCGCAATCATTTGCATAGGCTTCTGATGTTACATCGTAAACATCGGGTTTGGCTGAGCCCGAAAACCGAAAGAGTCCAAACCCAAAACCCCAAACCCTATAGATCCCTTTACAGTAGGAACCCTTAAAGGCACCCTTATAGATCCCTTTAAAGGTCGCTTCAGGGCCTTTGTGCAGCTGTTTTGCTTTGCCATCGCCTTTTTGAGTTCTTCGAGGCGTGCAAGTTGTGTCATTGTTTAAAGGTCCAGTTGCATCTGGCTCGGGCCGCTGTAGTGATGCTAATATTAATGTACAGGTTACTTTGCAAATGATTTTTTTGAGAGTGTCTAGAAGGGGTTCGAGTTTTGTTGCAAGTATGTGCTATTGAATGCAGCCTTGTCTATGTAGGATGCAGAGCTGAGACATTTGTAAAGGAGATTGATTTCAAGCTGTTTCCAATTCACAATCTCAGCCTTTGATGCTACAAACCAATCCAATACGAATAGCGCATGTTCAGATTCCGTCAGTCTCTGTCCCATCAGAAAGAGGCCTACATGCCCGTGATGGTCCCCAATCGCGTGGCATGGGCCCCAGCCTGACTCTACAGCACCAACCCATCGGTGCATCAGGGCCTGACAGAAATGGGAGTTTGCGAGGATTGTAGGGGTACCTTATTTGGGGGTCCTTATAACCAGGATCCTACTATTTAGGGTACTATCTGAGGATCCCCTGTTTTCGGAAACCCCCAAATTGGACCGAAAGCTCTAAATCACAGCCATCACACCAATGCCTACCAAACGACACGGACGTGTGCCGAAGCATGTTGAGGACATCAGACTTTATGGAAGATGCCGCCTTCCTCCCAAAAATGTGCTATGGTGCCAGCATTTGCGTCTCAATCGCACGTACTTAATTCAATGTCACAAAAAGCAACAGAGAGACGGCGGCTGACACAACTTTAGCGATTCTGAGACTTTCTGATCGACGAACCGTGCCTAAGCCTAAGCTATTGCATGACTCGTGTCGCCTCGAGACTGTCCTCCTGTCTCCAGTTTGGATCAAGCAACTTCAGTCGGACGTTTATAGCACCGATTATAGGGATGTAGCATTTATGGCAGCGGAGCCGTTGAAGGGAGTGGTGCCCGCGGCTGTGGACCAGGACGATGCCATGTCGAAGCCAGGGGCTATCGTACAGTTCACGACTGCAAGGTGGTGAATCTCAGTGATCCTTTTGCTTTTTGGTGGTTTGGGTTTCCATACGTATGACAAATAGATACAAGATACAGATAGAAGGAATCCCAGAACAAGTTCTTCCTTCCTACCTGGAGCCAAGGCAATCTACTTCGTGGAGGACTGGGAAACTGTTCTGACCGTTGACATCATGCGACTGGGATCCCTGAACGGCGAGGTCAGCGTGGACTGGTTTACAGAAGATGGTTCTGCAAAAGCCGGACGGCAGTACTACGCAGCAAACGGTCGTGTTGTCTTCCTTGATGGAGAGTACCGCAAGCAAATCAAGGTCAACACTATCTATAACCATTTCTGGTCTCCAACGCTCGAGTTCAAGGTCAAGCTTGCGAATGAAAGGGGCTGTTCCCTCGGTCTTTTTTTGAAGTCCTGTCGTGTGAAAGTGATTGATGGCGACACTTTTCCTTCAAGCGTGAACAGGGAGCTATTGCTGGAAGGTGAAGACGGCGTGCGACGCATTCGCGTCGTAAGCCTTCTGTGGCAATTCTGGAAGCTTTGCTTCACTCACGTGCACGGGGTCAAGATCCGAACCTTGGCCACACTGTTCCTGGATGAGTTCCGCAATGCCAGGCGCATTTCTGTTCTCCTCCTGAACGTTTACATGGTGGACGTTGTTTTCAATACAGAAGATGCAACGACCCAGGAACAGCTCATGCTTGCCACTCGACAAGAGACAGCTCTGATCGTTGGGGTATGTCTGGTCGCACCTCTGTTCCTGCAGCACGCCGCGACATTGATCAAGGCCAAGATGGACCTGAAGGGCCACATAAATATGTTTCTGCAGCGCGCCCTCTTCCGAAAGTACATGAACTACAGCGAAGAGTCCCGAAGCCAAATTCCTCCCTCTGCAGTGCAGGGCGCCATCACGTCGGATGCAGGAGATGCCGCGGAAAGCTACATGAAGTTGTTGGAGCTTGTGTCGATCGTCGTTCAGCTTGGGATTTTCATCTACTTCACTCTCATGGAGAACCCTGAAGCTTTGGTGTTCATTCTCTTGATGCCTTGCTGCATGGTGATCTACTTCATCGTGACCGGTTTGATCCGGGGGCCCAGAAATCAGTGGAAGGACACTGAAGACTCGCTGGTGTTCCTGGTTGAAGAAGCGTGCCAGCGCTATAGACTCGTGGCAGACTACTTTCGAAGGCCTCAGATGAACGATGAGTTTGAGAAGACTAGCGGCGAGCTGCGACAGGGAATTGTCCCGGACAGTCTGCGAGATGCCAACGACGAAATGTTCCCGCGGTGGCTTGGCCCAGTCTTCATGGGCATCTACATCGCCATGGAGGCGAACAGTGTCTTAGAGGAGCGATTGAGCCTCGGAACCTTCTTGGCCACGGTGGGCATCATGGGCGACATCAGTGACCAGTTCGGCGAGATTTACGCAATCATTCTGGAGGTGCGATCACTCTACGAATCGCTCGTGGACTTGACCGTGATGTTCAACAGTGCAACAGACCTCAAGAAGCAGAAGGAAGTGAACCGAAAGCGCCGCGAAGAATCCAGAAAGGCACGTGATGCCCTGTTCTCAGGGCCCTCCGATCCTGATGCCGATCCGACGGCGGCCTTGTACAAGACGGACTTGATCCCAATTAGGCTCGACAAGATGAGTTACTGCTTGATGGATGAGTTTGGGGACGTCACCAAAACACTCTTCAGAGACGTCTCGGTTCAAGTGGAGCAGGGGAAGTTGATTGCCATCACCGGCGACCTCGGCTCTGGCAAAGCCACGCTCTTACGGCTTCTGGGCGGCGTGATCTATCCCCAAGGAGGTCTGATCTTCATTCCGTCGCACCTCCGCGTTTTACACGTCACCCGAGAGGCGAATATCGTGCACGGCTCGCCTTGGCGGAACTTGATTTTCGGTTGTCCCCCACCGGCCAAAATCGACCCCCAGCGCGTGCAGACCATTCTCCAAATGATGGGAATGAAGGTGACGCTTTCGCTGATCGAGGAAGACTTGGAGAAGCATGCCAAAGGAGAGCAATTGGAGGCAATCTCCGAAAGTTCCGGAGACGCTTGGATCGGCTCCACATCCTACTCGGAGAAGGTAAAGATCCACTTGGCGCGGGCTTTCATCATGAACCCCGAGGTGATGGTTCTGGAGCGCCCGCTGCACCACTACAACGCCGAAACTGCAAGAACCATGCTGGGGCTCTTGCAGGCCCACGTGAGGGAACGAGGGCTCGGGTTACCTGCGAAGGATAGAGAGCATCGACGTCCTAGAACCGTCTTCTTTACGGCGGAGGAGAAGTCACAGGCAGAGGCCTCGGATGTGATTTGGAGGATCACAGATCAAGATATCGTCGTCACGGACACAGGCGATTTGATGGCCGAGGGCTTGAGCCCCGATTCTGGCATGGAGGACGGGATACTCCTCGAGTAGTGACCGGCACCACATACCCCCAATTCTCCTCTTGCAGGGCTACGCTTTTGGGATGATTCGGTAGATGCATGAACAGTAGCTATCGGGCCTAGCCTTGCTGTGGGAGTTGTGTGGCTTGGTGATATGCCCTAGCGCTGGGGCTACATCTGTTACCTCTGCTCGTACTGCAAATTCAGTGGAGCTGGGATGTACAAGTTTTTTTATGTATCACCTGCACCCTGGCTGGCTCAGGCTACCAGAGTGTCTGCTTTCTATTGGCATTTGGCCAAGACGGGCTTGTAATTCCAGACATGGGGCTAAGGGTTTGGGATGGGGAATATGGCAAGTCCCCTTCAGAACTCAAAGACGCAGGGCATTCGAATAGTATTCAGGGAGTTCACGATGCCGTGGGTGACGGGCTGCTAGGATGAATCTGAGAATCAGATTCATCATGCTCGTACATGCGTGTGCGGCCGTGAGACCGGAAGTGTCCATTCATGATCTTATCGATCTTGTGCAAGTACTACAGGCCTATCCTGAGCTTCTTTAGGCCCTGAAACCCCAGCCCCCCAGCCTCCTATCGCCACAAGCTGTTTTTGTCCTTGGAAATGCTCAACCTGTGAGTGGGTCCGACTTGCTTGAAACCTTTCAAGAACCAGATTCGCTGGAACCCGAAATGTATAGAACCCGTACAGAACCCTGTGAAAACCATTTTCTCAGATACCAAACAGAACATACGCAACAGAATGCATAGAGCCCTTGTGGAGCCAGACTTCTCAAAACCCTGAATGTACACAACCCTCTAGTTTTGAAGGCCCTTACACAAGGTGGTATAGTATATGTAATATCACTGAGAACCCTACATACTCTGATTAAGACGCTACTCTGACGATTCAAAGTCTCGTTCCAGTTCCTGTTGTGTTTAACACTCTTCATAGTCAGGATTTGGGGTCCCACAAGGTGACCCGAAAAACATGAACTACCACGGAGACTACCCAGAGGCCCCAAAGTGGTTCCTTTTTGGGGTTCATAGAGAGAATCCTACAGGGCATTCCCAAAAAGGAACAACTTTGGGGCTTATGGGTAAAGATAGCGAGTCAGGCAAATCAGATTTGGATAGTTCCGAGGTGCTTCGTCCGGCAGCGCCTCTTGCAGCGCCTCCTCAACCTCTGGTCGCCCTCCCAAGGGCTCCAGTGCAGGCCTGGGGCCCTTTGTGGGGGTATTTGGGTTGCGCAGTTTAGGGTTGAGAGGTGGGGGGGGGGGTGGGGTTCTTTCGAAAGCTCCTTCAAGAGGCTTCTTGAAGAGGTTCCTTGCAAGGCTCCATAAGGGTTCAGGGTTTGAGGTTTCGGGTGTAGGATCTTAGGATGTTTTACGGGTTTTAGGCTTTCTAAGGGTAGAAGTGGGGTAGGGTTTTGGTGCAGTATGTTGAGGTAAGCTGAGGAGGCTTCCGCACATCGGCCCTTTCGAGGAACACTCTCCTCAGTCTAGACGGTAGCGTTGGAAGTCGTAGAAGTACCGACTCCGTGGCGCTCCAACAACAAAATACAACATAATGCAATAGAATGTATCAGACTGTAGTATAATCGGGTTTATATATATACACACATTAATATGTGTGTATATATACATATTTGTGTATTTATATAAAACAGAGCAATGTCACGGTAAGCATCCAGCCGCTCCCCGAATGAGCACCGGGATGGAGTCCAACATTCTGCTTCTCAGGTGCAAAGACCCGTTTGCCAACCAGGCTGGTAAGACCGTCACCCTTGGCATTTTTGGCTGGGACCTCGCTGTTTTGAGCCTGCGCCCTGAGACCATTTCCGGGTGGGTGATTCCAAGGATGTACTGTAAGCTCCAGCTCCGTTGCAGCTCCAAAGAGGCAGAAGCAAAGATTTCCGTGTTCAGTCCGAGGGTCGGATGTAGCGGTTCCACACACGGCCCATTTTGCCACAAGCCTCCGTTATCTTGCTACATCCTGTCAGCATGATTTCGGTCTATTTCGGGCCTGCGGCTTTGGGATAAGAGCAAACTGGCGCAGGTGTGCAGACCACACTCTTCGGCCATCGGAAACCTGGGGCTTGGGAAGGCTGTGGCTTGGACTTCTAAGGCCTCAAGGACTCTTTGGTGAAACGATTTCAGGTAGTTTCAGAGTTCTGAGCTTCTGACTGACCACGGCAACTTTTATGTTCGGTGTCTTGGGGTCGGCATGCTTGCGTGGACCCCGAACTTTCTTTCACCCCAGCCCCCCCCCCCGCCCTTGCCCACTCTTGCTACTTTGAGCCCGACTTAGGCTACAGCTTGGTGAAAACGCTGGGGAAGGGTTGCTTCGGCACGGTGCATCTGGTGAAGCCGAGAGACGGCGGGGAGGAGCGCGTCGTGAAGGAGGTCGGGCACTGCTCGCAAGAAGAACGAACAAGCAATGCTTCTTGCCGCCAGCAATGTGCCTGAGAGTTTAGGGAAGCATCGCAGACGCTTCATGTCGCGACGAAGGAGCCAATCGAGAATGCTGCCCTTTCTCCCTGCATTCAGGTGCCCTTCAAGCCTAACATGCCGCGCGAGTCGGTGCTGCGGGAGATTGAGAACATGAAGGTTAGGAGTTGAATGGAATTCGGGACCTCCGTGTTTAAGTAAAATAAAGAGTCGCATCATTGCTGCCCCGTTTTGACATCTGAATTCACGACATCATTCTGGCACATCGGTTCTCGAGTTTGCACCACGGGGCCAGCGACTGGAGCACTTTTGTTCTCCCTGCGGAAATCGGTCACTGGTTGCCTAGGGCCTAGGGCCACGACGTAGCTTCTTTTGGACCAACACTCTATATTGGAGTTTCCGAAAACTAGGGGTACCTCGGGGTACCTTACATAATTCGGATCCTTCTGTTTTAGGGTAGTAGATTAGGGTCCCCTATTTTCGGAAATGCCCATATGAATCATGTGCCAGGCCATGGACCATCCTCACGTCCTCAAAGTCTTCGAGTATTACGAATCAATCGGAAAGCGGCTGGGCAAGCACTGCTTCAACTGATAAGCTACCTGGACCATGGATCGTAGGGGATGCCAATCAATTTTCTTTTTCAATCAAAAAAATTTCAATCAAAAAAAAAACCTATTTTCCAATCAAAAAAAACTTTCCCTTATTAAAGGAAGCACGACAGGAAGGAAGGAAGGAAGGAGGGAAGGCAGGAAGAAAGGCAGCAAGGAAGGATGGCAGGAGGGAAGGCAGGAAGGCAGGAAGGAAGGAAGGAAGGAAGGAAGGAAGGAGAAAGGGCGAGGAAGGAAGGAAGGAAGGAAGGGGGACCCTATTTACTACTACTACTACTACTACTACTACTACTACTACTACTACTACTACTACTACTAGTACTACTACTACTACTACTACTACTACTGCTACTACTATACTACTACTACTACTACTACTACTACTACTACTGCTACTGCTACTGCTACTACTACTGCTACTACTACTACTACTACTACTACTACTACTACTACTACTACTACTACTACTACTACACATGGAGAAAGTTTTTTTGATTGGAAACAAGTTTTTTTGATTGGTGAACAAGTTTTTTTTGATTTTCGCTGAAAGTTTTTTTTGATTGAAAAAAGTTTTTTTGATGGGTTTCCCGGATCGTAGTACCCTTCTGCTCGGGTCCTTGAGCTTTTACCCTAAACCCTAAACCCTAAAGGGTTTTAGGGTTTAGGGTTTTGAGCAGGATCCCATATCTGTGGTGCTTCAGTTTAGTGCCTTGGAGGAAAGACTCCTACAACTCAGATTCCAGCGCCGTCCCCCCCCCCAAAGGGATTCAAAAGTACGCTGTTTCAAAGGGTCGCGGACGTTTCAAAGGGTCGCGGACCCCTGCAATGCCATGGACCGTCACGGTAGTTAGGGGTCGCAAGAATGACCAAGACTATGTGTTAGGGTCTCTATTACAAGAAATGTTGTACTTATATGCCACACCAAACCCTCCGCTAGTTGCATTACCAGCTTAGCTTTTCTTGTTTTCAGGCTAGGGGTCTTGAATTTAGGATTGAGGGGTCCGAGGCTGTAGTACGAACTCAGAGGAACCTTAGACCAAACAGCAGCAATCAACACTTGAGGATTTGCATGGTCCTGGAGGCCTGCAAGGGCGGCGAACTCCAGGAGTCAGAGCATTACCCTCTCCCTGGGAATTTCAGGGTCAGCCGGGTGCCCTACACCCAGAGGTGGAAAGTCGAGCCTAGAGGCTCTACAGTTAAACGTCGAGGTGCGTCCGTAAGCAAAACATGAAGACGGATCGTGTGGGCACCTGCGCAAGCTGTCTACCTACCTACCGATCTATCTATAGCATCAAATAGCCATGTATATACAAATGCAATGTTTGAACAATTTGTATATGCATAGTTAAAATGTGCATATATAAACTGTATTCGCACATACATGCGTGCATACATATAAAAATAAATATAAATATAAAAATAAATATAGATATAAATATAAACAAATAAATAAACAAACAAATAAATAAATATGTAAATAAATAAATATATATATATATATATATATATATGCCCTGGACCCGATGTCAACACTCAAGCCCTTTCAATCGCTGCGCCCGCAGACCCAGTCCCGGAAAGAGACAGCGCAGGATCTCATCGCGGCCCATGCACGGAGTGGCCTCGCGCTCCCGGAGCGATTCATCTCGGAGGTGCGGAAGACTAAAATGCTTCGGGTGTTCGGGTTGGAGAGTATGGTCTTACGAAGGGACACAGCTAAGAAGTCCGGGTGGGAAAAAAAGAAGTCCAGATCGACCCGCCGGAGTTTGGCTTCTTATCGACCCTGGAAATGAACTTATTCGGGCAGCTCCAGGTGATGGGCCAGTCGCTTGAGGCGATCTCGTACTGCCACAGCAAGAACCTTATCCACAAGGCGCATCGCAATGTCGTGGTGGTCGCAATAGAAGTAGCAGTAGCAGTAGCCGTAGCCGTAGCCGTAGTCGTTGTCGTAGTCGTAGTCGTAGTCGTAGTCGTAGTAGTCGTAGTAGTAGTAGTAGTAGAAGTAGAAGTAGAAGTAGAAGTAGAAGTAGAAGTAGTAGTAGTAGTAGTAGTAGTAGTAGTAGTAGTAGTAGTAGTAGTAGTAGTAGTAGTAGTAGTGTGAACGGACAGTGAAGCATTGTCAGTTCGGAAGGTTGTACATATAAGAGCTTCTTGACGTAGCATGAAGTACCATGTACAGGCCATACCTACGATGCTGGTGCCCAGGTTGCACGGTACAATCGTATATGACTACGTGAAGCAGTATAGCACTTGCCCCGGCCAGTTACTACATCAACATCAAGCTCAAGGTAAGGTGAGCAACATATCGAGATCAAATCCTCACGCAAGTAGTAGAGTAGTAGCAGTAGTGCCAGTTGTCGCCTCAGCCGCAGCAGCAGTAACGGAAATGTAGTAGTGAATCAACTTGGTGCTGGTGGTGCTGGTTGAGGTGGTGGTGGCCGGCGCGGGTGCGGGGGCGGGTGCCGGAGCGGTGGCGGCGGCGGCGGCGCATTGACATAGAGATACGGTATTGTTTTTTGTGACATGTGCATTTGGTGACGGTTCATATGTTGGCTGTCTGCATAGATTGGTTGGCAGATGCATTGGCCGTGCCTTCGTACATTCGTCTTGTTTAAAGCTTTCTTCGTTTGATTGAGAAGTTTCAATCGTGCATAAATTCATTCATAGTACATGATGGTAACGTGTGGATAAGTTCGTCAGCCTTTGCATTGCATAAACCATAAGTCTTTCGCTCGCGGATAGCTTGGGGCCGTTCCTATAAGTGCAGACGATGAAGGGTGAGAGAACCGTGTCTCAGAAGCCCATGTTGCACGGACTATTTCTGTGCTGGGCATTCCACTGGCTCCCTCGTGGTCCTGCTAAACAGTCTAAACTTCTGCCTCCACCCCAGCCACGACAGGACCTCAAGGCGGAGAACATCATGCTGCTGCCCCGTGCCTGCATTGTGTCAGCTGGAAGCTGGAAGTTGTGCGGTGTTTTAAGAGCTTCTTGGTGCTTGACTTAGTGCCCACTTGTCAACATCTTGTGAACTTCCAGCCACTCTTGCTCCTAACAGTGTAGGGAAAAGTCAAAGATATCATGTCCAGCTGTCTGGAAACTATATCACTATGTTGCCACCACCACGACCACAACTACTGTCAAAATCAAAACCACCGTCCGAAGAGTTAGCCATGGCCCCAGTTGACACCCAGGCATCAGGTTGACATCGCTGCGGGTGATCGCCCACACTGCATCATCATCGATCTTGGCTTGGCTGAGATGCACAGTGCTTAAATGGATATAAGGCTGGGGTCACCACGAGGATGATCCCAAACTGTGTTCGGATGTGTTCGGAGTCTTACTGAGTTGCTGCATGTCGTCAGGTTTCCGGTTTTTATGGTTCAAGCGTCCCGATGTCCTGGTAAGGCTTTCGCAGGTGTGGGCGTCGGCCAGCCGTTTCTCATGTGTATGTATGTATGTATGTATGCATGTATATGCACACACAGATGTATGATGGCATACTTGCTATTGCTGCATACCCTCGGAGCGAGTCAAGATTTCGTGAACAAGAATCAGCGAGGTGAGTCAGCTTCATTCTGAGGTTCTTACCGAGTCTCCCAAGAGGGAAGATCTACGGCGGCACGAAGACGACCATGGCCCCAGAGGTGATGTTCAGCTCTCCGGCAAACCTTGCACTGGGTTGGTTTTTCCCGAGCACTTAACACCAAAGCTTTGGGGGCTCAGGGTGTGCGGTATCATAGAAAAGCTGGGTTCTGGTCCCAAGGCCTCGAGCAGATTGTGTGCTTTACCATGGTCAAAGTACCGGCGCTCAGTGGAAGCTTCTGTGTGTGATCCGGGGGCTCTGGCTCCAAGACATTCCCAGCAGCGAACAGTCCGTTTCGATTTTGTACGCTCCTACACATAGAGCACCGTTCGACATCCAGACAACTCCATGCAACCTTGCCATGGACATGCAATCCCATGCAATCCCAACAAAACCTGACTCAACAGAGTCCGCAAGCCGAAACGCTAGACACTGAACCAAGACCCAATACTCCCAATACCAGCATATTATGCGATAGATAATCCTATGCCAAAATGCATATCTACTTCATCATACTATGTCATGCGATAGTATATGACCTTATACGAGATGATACTACATTATACCATGTTAATTATACCTTCTAAGCGGTAACAGAAGCCCTTGTGGGAAGTCTGCTGACTGCCAGCTGAGGCAATTTCGGCCCCAAGTGTGGGGAACTCAGATTCCGAGGGGGGCGGGGGGGGGTTCTTTAAAGGGATCTATAGGGCTCTTTAAAGGGAATCTGTGGGTTCCTTAAGGGGATCTATAGGGCTCCTTAAAGGGAATCTGTGGGTTCTTTAAGGGGATCTATGGGGTTTAGGGTTAGGGTTAGGGTTTGCTTGGGGGCGGGGGGGCTCGGGAAAGCTGGTTCAGGGTCTAGGGTTTAAGGCTTTGGGGGGTTTACGTAAAGCTTATAGGCTTAGGGCTCTGCTAGGATTTAGGCTTTCACTTTACAGAAGCATCTCAAAGGGGGCTTTCCAGAGCTGTATCTCGGGTCCGGAACGCTGTTCTACTCTCTCGGAGTACTGCGCGAGGGCTTTTTGAGGTGCTTGCTGGGTTCACTGCAGTGTTGAAGGGCTGAGTTTTTTCTGGGGGGTATGAGACTCTGCAGCAAGCCCACGGGAACCGTCAGAGTTGTTGCTGCTGCCAGGAGTACTCAGCTTCAGTTCTGAGTTTTGTGTTTTGTGCCAGCAGGTGTTATGTGTTCCGAGTATACAGCATGTCTTCTAGCTAGCTGGTCGAACCAGCTGAGTTCCCGGGCTTGGAGCAGAAGAGGTTTTGGCATGTTCCATGTCCCAACCAAGCCAAGACCAGAAGAAAGAAGGTCGCGAGGCCTCAATTCACCGAAGCAATATTGGAACGGTTTCAGGGAAGACTAGAATTGGCCCTGCCCTGCTCGAGGATGACACCAACAGAGAAGTGCACCGAACACCCTGTTAAAAAGAAGGGGCCGGCAGACTGAGTTTCTCGAAGGGCTATACATGAGACGGGCGCAAGGACTGGTGATGGTTCTGGCTTCGAGCATGCTAATGTTTCGATGGCAAGATTTGGGATTTGGACTTGTGCAAACACAGCAAGAGGGTTCTTTGTATTCGACCTGCAGGGGCTGTGACAATCTGCCCGCAAAGCCGAGGCGATGTTTACTCTCTCGGCTGCATTCTTTTCCAGCGGCCTGTCTTGTATGAACCTAAACATGCGAGAGCCACAAAGCTTCGCCGGGACTGACACTGGTGGGAAGGTTTAACTCATGATGCAAAATCTGAGCTGGTGCTCTTATCTAACTGCAATGCGTGTGCGTTTTGTTGCTTGGCAGCTTGGCTTGTGTTGTGACATGTTATCATATTATTTGGAGTCGTCATCTGTCCAACAGTGTTTCTACCTTAGGTTGTAGTTCCGGTTGTAGAATTGTACTTTCAGCTGCAAGCTTTCTGCGATGATGGACTGCCAAATCCAAAGCACCGGACGACAGAGAGAGGATAAAGAGCAGGTGCTGAAAGCCTGGATGTACGCGTTTGGTGCGGAAGCTGCTGATGTCAGTCAGTGGCGGCAGGTGACTGCATCACGTGTTGTCCACTCTTCGCATCCCGCTTGGATCATTCGGAAACCCCTGAATTTGAGAGCTGCACGGAGACCTAAGCTGTGTTCCGCACGGAGTTTCCTCACTGAAGCCCCCAACAGACAGTCCTTCGACTCATCATCCTTAAAATCGCAATGCCATTTCTTTGCAACCTTTTGTGAGTGGCAAGGCTTCTCAGCGGCCAGCTTCCATGCGACCCCAACAGCGCGGACATGCAACGGCGGCTCCAGGGCTGCCGCAGCAAGGCCCAGGCGGTCGCGGATTGAAGGGGTCATTGGGGCTTAAGGCGAGTTCGCTCGAATCGACCGCCTGTTTCCATGTGCATCCTCTGGATAGTATAGCAGCAGCAGCAATTGTAGCCTCATCCTACTCCGTTTCTTGCCATGGCTGCATCATAGCCCTGCCCCTACTACCAGACAGTGCCGGGACTTCCAGCACGAGCAGCCGTGGTCGTGAGTCGTGCTAGTGCTTCTTCCCAGCATCTACATCATAATGCGTAAGATGTAGCCTATGTTGTATTATGTATTCTACTACATACTTTGCTATATATTATATTGCATGCTGTATTATACATAATCGGATGTCATACTATGTCATATTCGATTACGTGTTCTATTATGGTATATTTAACCCTTATTGCAGGCGATAGCAAGACGACCACCAAGGCCATCGGCCGGGCAGCAACAACACCATGCGATAGTGACAGTTTCAGCCGAAGCTTGACTTTTGTAGTTCTGGTGGCTTGACGAGTAGAGCTACCGTAACATCGCGTCGCAATGCTTTTGATAGTCGTGATCTATTGTGCTATGGTAGCATGCGTAATATTGTTATACTATATTGCAGTAGTGTTTTGCTATAGTACCAAAGCAGCAGGGGCAGGGACCCCGATCACACCCGCTCCCGCAGGAGCGGGGCATCTTCCTGGATGCAAAGTTGCGAGGCCAGGTTCTGATAAAGCTCAGGGGACAGGGTAGGGTTGGTTTAGGGGTTTAGGGTTTCAGGGGAGTTGAGTGCTTTCGACGGGTCCTAGAATTCCCAGATATTCTCTATAAGGTGAGAAGGTTTTGGGTGGGGGCTTTCGGGTTTCATGGCTTCTACTTGTGCGGATTTGTGACTTCCAGACCTCGCTTGTGACATCATTCTGCCGGCTTGGCAGCTTTTGTTAAAAGCAGAGGCGAGGATGCATTCAACAATTAACGTTGTTGAATTCGCAATGTGCCATGGCTTCCGACCATTTCTATACCTACCCTGCTCAACGGCACCGTGGATATCGGGTTATATCCCATCGACCGAGCTGCAAGAGTCCAATTCCCAGGGACTGGGTTGCTTGCAATCTTTGGACCCTGGGACTCCTTAGGGCTGTGGAGATGGAGCGGTTGCAGTTTTGATATTTGTGGGCTAGCTGTTGCGAGGCTGGCGTTGAGTAGACAGCTTCTGCGCAAGGCCCGGACTGGCGCCTCGTCTCGAAGGCGTCCGCAGACTCTCAGGACGGTGGAGATAGTAGCTATACTATACCATAGACTATACTATACCATGCTAGACTATGTGACCATATTCCAAAAAACCTATTCTTATTCTGCCCTGATGGCCAACCCTAAGCTGCTGGACTACACGCTAGGATGACAAAACAAGCTGGGGCAAGGAAAAGAGATGTTCCGTGATCCTTCAGAATGCCCTTTGGTATCATTCTATACTGTATTCTCTATGTATTGGGTGGTTGCTAAAGTGCCGTATTGTTTGAAGATTCTTTTGTGGCTGGCACATAGGTAGTCTCGCCATGCCGATACTGCGCGATGCCATCGTACATAATGTGCTCCTGTTGACGACTAGGAAGTATTGCTTCTTGCAGACTGCATTGAAGCTGTTAATTGTCGCTGTCATTGGGGGTGTTCGCTTTTGGGCTTGGTGATGCCCGTTCTTGCCGCTACATGCTGTAGACTTCCTGGAGGCGATTTCATCACTCTTCGGGCGCTGAGCCGTGGTGTCTCTAAGATGTATCGTAAAACTTATCATGATAGGGGGCTCTCTTGGCATGCTCGGTCTTGTCATTCGCAGCTTACACACCTCAGTTCGAGAGCATCAGCACTCCCATCGAAATCTTGTACATGTTGAGATCACAAGAGGTGAAGCTTGCAGGCTGCAGGTACCTACGGAACCATGCCTTGGATGGAGTAGTCACAGTCCGGCCTTGAAATCAAGGACCTATGACCTTGCAGTGTGTGTGTGTGTGTGTGCGTGTGTGCGCGATGTTGTTTCTCTCTTCATCTAGTTCTTCCTTTCATCCGTTCGTTCCTCTTTCTGATTACGACTCTCTATAATCTAGATATACATGTAGATATAAATACGAAAGCTAATAATAACAATATTACCAATATACGCCAGAAGACAAATAAGTAAACGAATACAGACAGACCTACATATACATATACATATATATATAGATACACAAAGCAACATGCGCACACAGACAAATTGATTAGTTAGTCTGCGACGTACTCCTAAGTTTATCCATTGCTTTTGCGTGTCATGATGTATCTGGTCAAGCTTCGAACGTTGTGGGGCCGGTGGGAAAGGAAGCTCGAAGCCACACTGACAGGAGCTCGTTCGGCGGATGATGGCTCCTCAGGTTGGGGTCTCCTTTAGGTTGCATGGGGTCTCCTATACTGCCGGTTTATGGTTTTTCCGGTAGACTTGAGCTTTTGAAGACGGCTGCGACTGCGAGCTCCGGCAAGGTTGTGTTTAAGGGTTGGGAGGTCTTGCGGTTCCGCACATCTACATGGGATCCCGAGAAGAGGTTAGGTTTTTAAAATGCACTGAGGGAACCTGAGGGAAATACCGGCGCAGCGGAAGGGGCTGAAACAATGATCACTTGCTCGTGGATGGTTGCATGCTACTCCATGTTTCTTAGTCTCCAGTCTCCACAACGTGCTATCCCGACGCAGTGAACCCCGACATTCCGAATCCCTGCACCCTTATCCGCGAATCTACACCCTATGCCCTCAGCCCCGAAACCCTATGCGCCTAAACGCTACGTACCCGCAGGAGACGACGAGACCGAGCTGTGAGGAGGCTTTGGGTCACAGGCCGAGCGCCTCAAAGCACGCACCTGTCAGGGGTTCTCAATATTGGGGTTACGGGTTTTTATGAGGTTTTTACGGGCTTGCGTTGGCATGTCAGATTTGTCAGGAATCGTTTGGGATACCTATAAGCACCTTACCGGAGGGTGGGACACATTCAGAATCGGACACATTGCTTCAGCGAAGCACCACAGCTTACGAAGCTCCAAGGCAACCTCATCAGGAGCTCCTGTCACATTTATCTTCAATGAGTGCAATTACACCTTCGACAGCTCATGAGGGTCGCGACTGTAGTTGTCTCTTCTGCAGCCGGCTATTCATCGCTTTCGTTGATACAGGCATTACTGTAGAGCCGTGGACTTTCGCCAAGTCGTGAAGGAGCATCGACGTTTGGCCTGTTAGAATGGCCAACTGACCAGATGGAATCCCAAAAGTCTGAGCCTTCTTCAAGATAAGCGAGCAGCCACTATATTTGTTTTGCCATGAAGCTAGTCTCTTCTCTGCACTATGTTCAGCAGATTAGCAATCCGAGTCTTTCCAGTTTGCACGTTTTCCATTGTGAATATATTGTGGCTCTGGTTCACTTGCTCCTGTGCTTTTTGGCCGACTCGACCCTAGTAAACCCTATACCCTAAAACCCTTCACACTGAGACACCCTGCAATGCGGGCTTCGTCCTTGCTAGGTAGGAGCCCCAAACCTGTATCAACCCTACTAAACCCTAAACCCTAACAACCCCCAAACCTGTATAAATCCTAATATTCCTTAACGCAGGTGGTTCCAGATGGCACGTGGCTCGTCAGCTGTTATCCCTGCAGAGCAGCTCCAGGCACCTGCTGCCGAGGGGAACAAAGATACGAGCTTCAAGTACCATATAGGGGCCGGAATAATTAGCAATACTGTTTAGGTGGTGGTTCCTCTTATAAGTACAGTATCAGGGGTCCCAAAACCCTACTCTAATCAGTACGGCCCCTTTTATTAAGAGCTTGAAGTATTCTGAAGGGCTATCCCCCTTCAATCACTAGAACTAATAGCAAAAGAGTACAGCATACACCTAAACCGGTATTGTACTTGCTACGGCCCTCCCTTAATTATGATGGAATCCAAACCGGCCCCCCTGATTTTAGGATTGCTTGATATGCTCAGCCCCTGCGACCCGAAGGCTTGAAGCATTTGGGCGGAAAACTCCGGGATGCGGCACCAAACTTCTAATGACAGCCTAAATCCTAAACCCCATGACCGAGTATCAGCCCTAAATTTTCAAGTGTGTGTTAATCCCAAGCTTTGGTACTGTAGGAACCGAGTTACGGAAGCAGGAGCCAGACATTGGGAAAATCGGTTCAGGGTTTTACGTGTTCTTGGGCTTCGGATTCCCGTGCCCTGGAAGTAAGCCCTGAACCCCACATCCCAGGAGAGTCCCCTGCGTAAAGTTTTAGCAAAGTATATCCGGACCTTGCCATGCCTCGCCTGGAGTGTTCGGGCTGCCAGTCGGCCCGGCCAATATGGAGATCCCTTGACTAACCTGTACTATTCCGTAGGGTTCCTCATTCTATTTATGGTGTAACGTACCCGAAAAACACTATTTGATTATGGAGGCTCCTATTTTAATCGTCCCAAAGCCTTGTTCAAATTCGACAGAGTCTGCGGCTTTTTGACTCCAGCAATCCCAGCCTGGATGGTCCCGGTTTAGGGTTCAGGGCTTAGGATCGATGCTTGATGCTTCTCGTCTCCACACTTTGTCAAGCGAATGTGGGGATTACTGGGCGGTGGTAAAGGCCCGATGCAAAAAGGGCTTAGGATCATCTCGTAGTGTTGAGCCTTCGAGTGCTCTGCATGTCGTCCGGAGAACGACGCAGCGATGAGAATTGCACATGGCGGTCTCGTAGACGGTTGGTGACTCAACGTACGAACGTGTATTTAGCAACCCTGAGCTGACATCGACTTCCCTGTAAAATGATAAGGCTGAACATATATCGGAACAAGAACAGTAGCGGTCAAACAGCTGGTTTATTTGTTCAAGCTCTCTCATGTCTCTGTGGTGGCGATGATGATCATCATCATGCAAGCACGGCGAGAGGCCCTGGCCAGATATCGCCAACACAGCGCCTTCCAACGGGCCTTGATGGCTAAGGCTGGCTGTTGGCTTCGCATGCTTCCGATGTCGGGTTTGATTTGGTTTCTGTGGGGAATGCTGTATGCGGAGTTCACGGCAGGTGGGTAGCCGGAATTCAGCAGCCTCACGCAGAGTTAGGACCTGCAGGTATCCGGAGTACTGGCAGCCGGTTATATGCGGTTAGACGGATGGAGAACCGATGGACCGAACGAAGGAACATGGTTGAGATATTTCCAGTCCACACCTAAAGTCAGCAGCCGCCATGGTAAAGGAAGTTGAAGCATAGGCGCTCCTTGCCTATATCTGCAGAACCTGTCAGGGTAGCAATGGCGCGGCCTGACAATCATGACAGAAGAGCTCATTCTGACCCCTCATTTCGACACGGAAGCCAGTCCAGGTGGCAACCAAGATGTCTACTGCGCAAACAGCGGACTTGGTGGCAGAGTTCAAGGCAGCCTCAGATCATGAAGTTGCAGGGATGCCTACTGACCTACTGAAACCTTCACAGTAACCCTCACAGGAACTACTATAATAACGATAGTAACCCTTAAAGTACATGGCAGTGTGTTTTAACTGCAAAAGTAGGCCGTAGAGATCAGAGCCTCAAGAGTGGTCTCAAGGACCTTAGTCGACCCAGCTGTGGCTCCTTGCGCACGGCTGACCTGCCGACCGGCTGCAAGAAGTCGGGTTTAGCGCTTTGGGTATGTGCCAGATACCCCAACAGCCTACTTGAATTCTCAAGGCAATGCATACAGACTTCAGGATCCTAGGGGTCGGAATTTTTGGTTGAGAGTGGCTTTAGCAGGCAGGTCTCAGGAGCAGGGCCTCGCCTCGCCTGGATTGTCCGAGCTCTGAGCGCCAAAACCTCAGGTCGAGTTTAGGGTTTGGGTTTAGGGTTTAAATTTGGGTTTAGGGTTTAAAGTTGGGTTTAGGGTGTAAAGTTGGGTTTAGGCTTTCGGGAACACAACCGAAAGCCGAGGCAAACTTCCTTCGAGTCCCTTGGCCTGACCCCGCGCGACGCGGAGACCGCGGTCAAAGCGCTGGACGTCGACGGCAACGGCTGCGTGGAGTTCTCGGAGCGGAGCTGGTTTAACATATCTAACATATCGAGGTATGAATAATTGCGAATAGCATGTCCTTTGAATTAAGTCGCCATGATTCTGGCACAGGAATACACAACATACCTCATTACAATGTACCCCTCCCCCCCCAACACACTGCTCCAATAATTAAGGCCGTCGTAGGTTCGTCCTAGCCAGGCGGGAGGCAAAAATGATACAGGCGCGCCTAATTGTGGCGGGGCTTAGAGTTTGTAGGGCTTGGCTGCATTGGAGACTACAAGGTTCCTGAGGTTTTCTGATGAACTTGGGTTTCAGTTTCTTTGAGTGGAGGGATTACTTGGGTTTAGTAGGGTTTAGTCTGGCTTGGTGGTGTTTAGTAGGGTTTGCTAGGACGGTTTGGTGAGGATAGGGCCTAGGTTACGATGGCGCTGATCCACCTCTACATCGGTCATCTGGCCGCCATAGGTTTGGTTGGAGTACTCCATGACTCTTTCTCCAGCGAGTCTCCAATCTTCAGACCTTCTTTGTCTGCACGCACGTTTGCCCTAGAGAGGAACACCCACTGCCCAAAGCCGAGTATTCAATGCCAAAGTTATACAGGCACTCGACTCTCAGCAGCTTCAAGCCCGACCATAAGCCCATTCGCGCTGCAAGTGCATCTGGCTGCGAAACGAAGTTCGGACAATTCGTGGTCCCGTCTTTGTAACACCTCGAACCGTTTTAGTCTGTCTCAGATTGCTTAAGAAGTCCGAGCTGGCAGTGAAATAATGTTGCTTCTCGTCCAGATTACCCGCCGATGCAAGAGCTAAGTTATCCACCTATCACAGGCCGCCACAATCTCAACACAAACAAGCAACAACAGCAGTTTAGGATGCTATTTTCTGGTTAATTAATCAAAGAGTAAGTACGCACTGCACACAGTTTCGCGAGGAGTTCGTGGCTGCCTGTATCGCGACGTCGGGCGAATGGCAGAAGAAGGCCTTAACCCCTGCCTTGCCTGCCTTGTGCCAGTGTGAGTGACCCAAAAACAAGTCAAGACCCTAAACCTCCGAAGAATGCCGTGGTTTTTAACATGAGAAGGCGGCACAACTCTTATGGGTTTTGGTAAAGGCTTGGGTGTTTCTGTCCGGTATCCTCGTGGATCCCACCCTTTCGGGTCTGTAATCTGGTGCCATATGTTCTGATAGTCCCACATAGCTTTGGCAATGCTAGCTCTTCAGTCATCTTGTTCCTGCTGGTCTTCGCTGTTGGTCTCAACCCAGTCTCATCTGTGCAGCGTCGTTATGCCATTCGTAGCTGCACCCGTCACAGCAGTGCTCCCTCGTGGTGGAAAGGCCCAACTTGACTTACAATGCCGGAAGCCTGCGAAGTAGAAGAAGTCACTGCAGCACGTGACACCTCAACAACACCCAAACACCCTGAACCTCGAACCCTAAACTGTCTGGTTCTTAGGCCTGGATTGTCCGAGTGTGAGCGCCGAAACTGTCTGGTTCTTAGTAGGGAATGGAGGAATGAGTTATGATGGGGATTATCATTGGGGATTATACAGGGACTACTACAGGGATCACATTCCCCCATTCCCTACTAAGCACCAGGAGCCCTAAACCCCGAGCTGGAGAGGCAGTGAAGGTCGCCTGGCACGAGTTCGACACGGTGGGCAAGGGCTGGGTGGAGAACTCTGACATGGTCAAGATGCCACCTGGCTTCTACACATCTACCATTTTAGGATCCCGCACCACCCCCTCGACGACGATCCTCTACCTGCCCGAAAGTGTGACCGAACGATTCTAAGTCCTATCCTTAGACTCAGGAGGCATAATGGTAGACCACCAGAGGCGGCTTCAGAGTTACATCGGTAGCAGCCACTATTGCAACGGTATATGCCGAGTAGAGGCGGCAAAAGCGAAAGCTTCAGTGCGGAAAGTCTTGGTTCAGGATGAGGTATTTGGGGCTGGTGCCATGACCCTTACGAATGATGGAGATGATATTGCAGCTGTCAGTGATGGTCGTTGCTGTCATTGCTGTCAACGTTGCCTACATACTGTGGCCATGGTCCTGGTCTCACTTGCTTTGTGGCTAAATCTGCCTTGTGTAGTGTAGCACACGTCTTTGTGCTGACGGTCGTCGTAGCGGATTTTGGGCTTTTTTCCACGGCCTCGTTTAAGTATTGCATCCACCCAGGCTCCACTTGAGCGGCCTCGTGTCTGCAAACACCGATGCGGATGCCCTCGTGCGGGCCATGGACAGCAAAGGCACAGGGTGAGACGTTCCGGGGTCCAACATGCGATTCTTCAGTTCAGGCTGGAGAGTTTTGTCCTATGTGCGACCTCCAAATTCTGTTCACCGAGTTGTGGAGTCGGAGTCTAGGTGCCGCAGGGATCCGCGCAGAACAAGGAGACATGTTTAGGAGATGCTTTCAGCCAGGCAGTAAATATGGAAGCACGTATAGCTACAAAAGTATTCCTTATAGGGTTCCTTTTTGCAAATATGCTATGAAAATCTACCCATAGAGGCCTATTCTAACTATGAAGGCCCCGATAACATATTGCTAGTAGCATCCTCGGGCTCCAGGTCTCCTCATCGAAGCCCTCGGTAGGAGGGGAAACATGCAAATGCTGTTTGAGCTGATACACACACACATCCCTAAACAGCTCGGTGTTAGTTCATGCTCCCTTAGACTCGTTTTACTCAGCAGAATTCGAAGCATATGCCTCGCCTGGATTGTCCGAGTGTGAGCGCGACACAGCTCGGTGGCTCGAAGGTTTCGGGATTTGTTTGCAAAACCCTTAGAAAGGCCCTAGAACCTTCAAGCCACCGAGCTGCTTGCACTTCGCAGGTCTTGGCCGTGTCGCCTATCAGGACTTCCAGGCGTACTTGGAGCATGAGCTGCAGCTCGTGGACAAGGCTAGCCTGTTACAACACTACAAACACCAACTGAAAAGGTTATATGTAGGAATACTGTGTAAGCTAAAACAAACGTAAGGTGACTGCACCGGGAGTACGGTGGGCTTTCTGGACCAGTCTGATCGAGAGCCTCGCAAGAGCTTGAGATGCTTGAAACCCCCAGTGTGGAGTCTGGCCCCTTAGCATGACTTGCTTTTGCTTCGCAAAAGTGTCGCAAGGAAACACGTAACTAAAGCACACTTGAGCAAGACAGTAGGGTCAAGGACTAACCACCTGGTAGAAAAAGCCTTGTCGTTTCGCCAACATGCTGAGCAAGACGCAATCTCGAGTTAGGTGGTTTTGGCGCAATCCAACCCACGTGTCACAGAGGGCATCAGGTTCGTGTGATACTAAGCTGGATGTCGAGAACCGCAAAGTCAACATGATATGCTTTGGAGCTCAAGTGAGCTCTGAACATATAGACCCAGGATGAAGCAACGTAACCCCAAACCCTAAAAAATCCCAAACCCTACAACACCCCACAAACGAAACCCTAAACCCCATAAGACCCTAAACCCTAGAAACCGTAAACTTGAAACCCATCGAAACCCTAAACCTCCATGCTACCGACTGCAAGCGAAGGCCGAATCGGTGCTTTCTGAAGTTGGACAAGCCGCTCGGCTCATCGAAGAGAGCGGTTGAGCACTGAAAGGGCTCAGACAGTGGGAGGGTTTAGGGGTTTAGGGTATACCCGGCAGTCGCAATAGGCCTGGATGCAAAAAGGGTTTAGGGTTGGGCTCAGACATACCGAGAAGTGCCGAAGCTTGTGCCTGAAAGGAGGTGAAAGAAACCTCTCAACCCAAACCCCTCAGTTGTGAGAGTCGAAAACCTGAGGCCAGGGAGGTTGGCTATGGACTTGTCCCACGTCCCAACAGGTAGCATAGCAAGATGTGTTCATATTGTTCTTCGAGTAGCAATAGCAGCAGGGAGAACAGCCTTGTAGAAGAGCAAGCACTCGCCGCAGGCAGGACGAAACGTGCTAAACCCACCTAAACACTCCATACATACCCCATATATGTAACATTCACGAGCGAACTAGAAGAACCAAAGCTCTTGAAGACTCTTGGAAGCCGCACTCTTACAAAGCGCAAGATTGCGGAATGAGCGTGCTGAGCCTACCACATTGTTTCGACCTGAATCCTCATGTGGAAGATGCGTTGAAGCTTAGCAGGCGCCAGCTAGTGAGAGCAACCACCTCGGTGCCCGTGGCTCCGTTGGGTATCTTGGCAGGAAGCGAGATTTGTGTGGGGCATGGCTCCTGTAATGCGGCTGCAGTCAGCTAGGTCGGTGACAACACTCGAATAAATAGATGCTTAAGAAGAGCAGGAATGTATTTCTACATATGCATTTGTTTACCTGTATTTCATATACTTAGTACAATATAACATCATAAGATATTGTATGACCGAATATAACCTGTGGTAATGTAGCATAATATAGTACTATGTTTTTGTACAAACCTAGAGATAAAACTTGTTTATGCAGTATGTACAGTACTTATAGTACTTATGTATTTGTAGTTTTTGGACGTATGAATGAATGTATACATAGACTTGTTTGTATGTGTATACATATAGATGTATGTATATGCATCTGCGTAACTATATATATATATATATGTATGATGTGTATATATATATATATGTGTGTGTGTGTGTGTATGTGCATATGCACGGGTACGTATTGAGATCAGCGCTGCGCTCCATGCTTTTGCAGGCCACCCGGTGCCGAGAAAGCCTCGACGCTGACTTTGTCCCACCGCCGCGGCGTCACACGGAGCCTCGGCCGACTGAAGCAGCGTTGTCAGAAGCTGAGGCCCTGATATAGGGGGCGTAAAATATTGCCAATACTATTTTGGCGGTTCCTTATTGTGATTGTAGTATAATGAGCCCCAGAACCCTATTCTAATTAATATAAGGCCCCTATATTACTCAACAAATACGGATGTCCTTATCGGTGCGGTGGGTACGGCCCCGAACGAATTGGACATGGACTGCACGAGCTGCCGCACAATACATGTTGGCCTTCTGTGAAAGTCTCCAGGTCTTTTCGCTAAATATACTGCTATCTTACATTACAGTACAACAGGTGGTATTCTGTTATACAATATCATATCATGCAACTTTCAGTACCAGTCGTCGTTTGAGAGGAGTGTGGCAATTTTAGCTTGCGCCGGCAGACAAAGGCTCAGCTCGCACAGCTTTCCTTATGGAACTATAATGTACTAGACTGCTAGTCTGTACTGCAAAATACTAAACTATGCTTTACGATGCTGCAATGTACTGAAACTACTCTAGTTTCTCCTACAGGATTTGGAGGTCGCAACTCAACCCGATTGTTGGGATCCTGAGGAGGATTTGGCCCCCGAAAGTTCGAGGGCTAGGCCTTGCGAGCACTGTAGGGGTTTAGATAATTCGTCGTACTGGCTCCATCCTAACCCGCAAGCTCCAACCGGACTCCAACCGCCTTAAGCCCGAGCTTCGTATCGATTCAGGGTTTCCGAATTTTTATCTAAGTAGGGTTCCCAGAAACGTGAATCCGAAGTTGCGGCCTGGAAGAGGGCATTCAGCCTCCAAGCTTCAACTTGAAAGAAAGATAACATAATGGTTTCTTCATTCTTCATGTCAATGTGCGTAAGTCATATGTCTTCTGCTCAAGCGATGTCAGAGCTTTTGATGTGGACTCGCAACACGTGGCTTCTTGTTTTGGGGCTTGAGCAACCGGGCTACCTCTTCAAACTCCTATGCATCTGCTAACTGTCGAATGGCCAGCATGTATGGATGTATGTTTGTATCTACGTATCTATACATGTCTATATATATATATATATATGTGTATATCTATCTATATATATATATATATATGTGTGTTTGTGTGTACCCATATGGCAATATCTAAATCTACGACAAGATGCTGATGCAGCGAGGCGAGGGATCCGTTCTGTGTCCACTGAAGGTATTGAGCCCCGGCTCCCGATTGACTTGATGAGTTGTTGCTGGACTAACGCAGGAGCCCAAATATTCACCAATACTATTTTGGGGGCTCCGTCTTATAATATTGGCCCCAACACCCCATTCTAATTATTAGGGCCCCTAGTATCATCCGTCACTTCCTCGCTTGCTCAGGAGTTGAGCAGCACAGACTGCTGCAGGTGGCATGCGCTTGGCCCGCACTTGGGGATTCGTATCAGTGAGACGTGAGACGACGACGCTTCTGTCCTTCTGGTTCTTAGTAGGGAATGGGGACTTATTTTATGGGGATGATATAGGGACTATTATGGGGATCCATTCCCCATTCCCTACTAAGCACCAGACAGTCTAGGATAGGCATGATCAGCAAGGGCATGCCCACACCAGTGGCGTCGGGCATCTTGTCGGATGTGTTTCAGTGGATTTCCTGACCCTGCTTTGGCTTGTCAACCGCCGGTCTGTACAACGTTCCTCTTGCAATCCAACGCGAGCTTTCAGTCTGCTTGCATGTGCTGTACCCGTGCGCACGAAAATTCTGCAGCACATGCCTGACGAGGTCCGATCTCAGGGCGTGCGAGCTGGCGAAGCTCTAATTCTACAAGACCTGCCCAGACAGTGTTGTACATAGCCTCTCTAGATGGCCGCGAGGCTTTCTGCAGACTACGTAGGCAGCTGCGCGAAGAATCATTTGACATGACACCGATAGCAGTTCAGACCATTTGCTCATGTAGACTGCAAAACTGCGGCTGCCTTCGCGATGGGGCCCGATTCAAGTCACCCCAAGTGCGGCTGTGGGACCCGGGGACCCTGGGCGATGTCCAGTGAGTAGGGAATGACAATGACACATACTTTGGCGCTGCACAAGCGCCGTGGTGAATGGAGGTTGATGCAACTTGCTCATGACATGGGGCCGGCACATTGCAGTCCTCTGCAGCTTGAGGTGTAGAATCGTAGAGTATTGCGTTGAGTGCGCACCTACCTCTGCGGCGGTGGACGGGCCTGAGTAGTATAGGGCTCCCGGGAAGCAAAGAAGCAATCCATCGACACTACACTGCCGTCATGCGCTCTGCAGATCACGATTTGCAGAAGGATCGCAGTGCCGGCCCTCCGTAGGTCATACATACCATGGCAGTCACGCCTTCGGAAGTTTCCACTTACGGCTTACAGCAGCTTCCAAGAGAAGGCCACCGACTGTGCCACCTCACCCTTCAACCCTGGCGATGCGTTTCTGCCTGTATGAATTCAGACAGAACGAGGGACTTGTGATGACATGTCGCTCTTGGAATTCGAGGGATCTTGCCAGCAAGTCTTGCTGCTACGGCTCAGCTCCCTCGGAGGTTATCGTTTTGCGTATACATATATATATATATATATATATATCAATCTAGGCGTACATGGATACTAGAGGCGATGTTGCGCACATTGACACTTCACTTGTTGGCCCTGTTTCTTAAGGAGACATGCTGAGGAGAGGCACGAGACTTTCTCTTCCTCGGAGCCCGGAGGGCTTGCGTGTCTCGAAGAACTCAGGGATTGCGGTGTGAGGGTAGAGGATTAAGGGGCTTCTGTTTCGAATGTAGTTGCAACGATACGGTCTGTTCAATCTCTTCTGTTGCAAGCGTTATGTCCGTCCCAGTAACTCCCAGTAGCAGGGACTAGCAGCCTCAAGAATGATCCTGGAAAGACCCGCACAGAGGGATGTTGACCCTTGCAACTATGAGTCTTCATTTATCGGCAGGACAAGTGAGAGCTAAGTAAGGCAGAGATCTCGGTGATGACTCGTGCTATGACCCGCGGTCCTGGAGTACCACCTGATATGTTTATGAGGTATCGCTCAGACTTATTACGGCATGCCACGCCGGGACAATATCAGACAAGCCGCAAGGAATATACGCTTAGCAACAGCTTCCTTGAGCGTTCTTCCAGATACACACATTTATATACATATATATATATGTATATATATATATATATATTATAAGTATATATATATATATATACATCTTTCATAGAAAGCCATGGAGTGACAATGGAGTGTATAAGTTTCCCACCGGCATTGCCCACCCTGTACACGATACCCTTCGCCCGGGTCTTTGCGAAATCGCGGTCATTCAACGGATCATACAAGGCGGGACCCTACGACTTGGGGCTAAGTTGGAACTGTGTAAGATATTCCCGGGCTTGCTTTTGCAGGGCATGCAGCATAATCCAACTGATGGTCGCCAATGTGCTCTCGCCGGAGCACCGACATTGGATTCGGCGGTGTTGATTGCCCAATCATGCCTGAAATTCCGTGAGCAACACACTACTCAGTAGCTGAGTGGATACACTTTGCACTCTTGGGGCTTATGAACTCAGCAACTAAGACTAAAGTGTAAGAGTCTGATAGGTGTCTGGGTAGGCGAAGATCAGAGCCTCGGGGACGCGCGTCTCCCCAGGAAAGGTGGCTTGCCCTACGGAGGCAGCCAATTTGGACCCAACTGCGGCAGGAGATGATATGAGAATTACGGCTCAAGACTGTACCTTTGCAGCTGCTTCTTTTTCTAATGCTTACCCTGGGTTTTTGCCACAGGGATTTGGGGCTTCGGGCTTCCATGTCAGGGTTGGTGGACGTAATCGCGGAGTCTGAGGTCTTGGCTCCGGGGTTTGGAGCAGTGACGTGAATAGGACTCTCATTTGCAGGGCCGCAGTGTTTAGTTTAATTTTTCGACAAGGGCTGCCTTCGCACTCTTGTGATATTCTGAAGCTCAGTGTGTTCATTCAGTGAGCCGTGATCTCCTGCCCCTCCCTGGGAAGATCCGGATCAGGGGCAGCAGGGTGAATCCTGAACCTTGCACTCTCCGAGACAGTACAGCAGCTGAACAGGCTGGCCCTGCCTTTTGGGAAGGCCACTTATCAACGCAAGACCGTCCAGACATCCTATCACCCTCCCACCGTAAATGCGCAGTCCCTCTCATTCGGAAGCCCCCGTTGAGCCGCAGTTGAACTTCCGTGGGCCCCTCTAGGGCAGGGCCACCAAATAAAGTGCATGCATGGCCCAGCGCTGGGGGAAAGCCCTCAAAGAGCAGCAGTGCAAGTCCTTCGGGCCGGATCTTTGTACCGGATTACTGTTTTTTAATGGGCTTGTGTTCTTCCTGTAGTCCAGCACAACAGGGCGGCCCCCGAGTGGCACAGATGTCCAGAGACTTTGCATACGGCGTCGCAACGCGGTTTGAGCTCGTTTCCTTGGCTGAGGGTGGGTGTGTGCAAGTGAGGCTGCGGGCACGGTGCTGAAAGCTCTGTTGTGGGCACTCCCCTCGTTTCCGCGAGAGGTCATGATGGTTCAAGGTGCGACTTCCTAACATCGGACTCTATCTTTTGGCCACGGCAGGGAAAACAGAGGTTGAGGCTGCTGTCAAAGAAGCTTCAGATTCCGTTTGTTGGGAAGAGCTCCTGATATATAGTATGAAGCATACAGGGCATGAGGCCCTACATGCGATGCCGCACTTGCGATCTCCACCTCGATATTATTCTTACAACTAATATAACTCTAATTGGTGATTTTATTGCTATGTATTAGTGAGATCGACAGTGCCGCTTATCTTTTGCAAGTGTCAATGCTCCATTGCATTCCGCTGCAACGATGTTGGTCGAGCAAAAACTGGTATCAGCTGCATTGTAGGCCGTGGATGCACAGTGTGAATGTATACTAGGAAGGTAATCGTTTCACCCTAATCTGAAAATCCCCCTCCCCCTTCCCCTAATATAAAAACTGGATTTCATAGCCGGAGATATGAATGTACGAGAATGTAAACATCTACACATTGTCCGAGTTCCGAGAGTCCAAAAGCCCTAAACAGGTCTAGGCCCAGGCTTTGTGTACTACATGACATATACTATACAGCAAAATACAAAATACAATCTAATTATCTATCTATCTATCGATCTCTATCTATATATATATATACATATATGTATATATATATATATAATATACAATATGACTTACAAAATGGCTCATGTAAAATACAATGAACAATATGTTTGACCCAAGGAATGGTTGGACCTCTGTGGCGGAGCTCAAGCTGCAGGCGGCGCAGAGGGGTTACAGGATGTCGACGCGATGTTTTTTTCCGCGGGACCAGACTTATCAGTTTGGGATTTAGGGTTTAGGGTTTAGGGCAAAGTACCATGCAGCCAGTGCGAAGATAGGCACACGAAGACGAAGAAGTCCAGAGCCAGGAATGTTTTGGATTTCGGTGTTCATGCCTCGTTTCCTCAGTTCTCAGCCGTAAATAGGAGGTTTTGTCTAGCGTTTGGAGAACAAGCACCAGGCTAGAGGTACTTAGGATGTCGTCCTGCATCACTCAAGACGTTATGTAGGCGAAGAAGTCAGCAGAAAGTAGGGTTCAGCGAAAATCATAGAACGTAGTGCACGTGCACCATGCCACGACTGGGGCAGTCGGGAGGATCACATGTGCCCGCAACAGGCCTGCACCCTCAACGGGTGGCCCTTGAAAAAGTTCTGACCCAAAATTATTCGACTATCCCTAGCTGTGGGGTGGTTTCATTATTCAGATCTGAGGCTTGGAACTCCCGCTATGCGCGGTTATTGTAGCTATGAACTTCTGCACGGTGTTTTAGAGAATGATTTTCCTCAGTTTGCTTGTAAGAAATCACCAGACTTCCCCCACGGGGACACTGACAAGTCTAGGACATCGCCACGAATTTCGGCATTGGTTGCGCGACTGTGTGATGCCGTCATGAGATTGTGACATTGTGGTGATCCATGGCACCGGCATGTTCGAACAAGGTTTCCGTAAAGCCTAGCCGCATCGCTTTTTCGGCATACGAAGCTGGTCGCGCAAGCTAGTAAATAAGCCTCCGAAATCTTGAGCCGGAAAGGTCTTATTGCACGTATGTCTCCCGACTGATTCACGGTTCACCCTCGCACGACTTGCCTCTGTCAAGGCAGGCCCGCAACCCTGGACGGTTCTGCAGTTGACATCGGACGAGTATAAGAGTTGTCACAGGCCTCCAAGAAAAAGGACCCCCTGAAAGAATGTGAGAGCCAGCAGCTAGGAGGCATTGTGCAGATGCAGGCTGTCCGGAGAGCTGAGCTCAGTCACCACCGGCGTGTCCTTCTTTGGAAAGGGGCCTGGGCCTTATGCTGGCTCCGGCGGT